GAGCGATATTACTTTACTTCGGTGTGTCATGTCCACCTAACACCGTTTTATCGTTTCCATTCACTGTTTGTTTTCATTCCACATATCTTAGGCAATTTTGTTATCACGTAAACATAATTTTGAGTAAATTGTATACTCCCAAAAACGAAGAGTAAAAGTGATGAATAGTTTGGTGGGTTATACAACCTTAACGAGCATCCCTTGCCACAAGAAAAGGGGATGTCCGTCGTCGGATTTATATTATCAATTGTATCTATTAAATTTCCAAGTGTAACATATTGTCCCATCTTACCCAACATTGGTTTGTATTACTATACTTTATAATAATTATATTAATAATAGTACAATATAAGTAGTTAAGATTCAATTAATGTCTAGTCGGCTTATTGTTGTCGTGTTGCTCTGTTGACGAGTCACTTGCCATCACTATTAAATTGGTCGAACGGTCGTTCCTCACACATACAATATTACCACTATCGCCACGCGACTACATCAAAGCGGGATGCGAATTGATCACACAACTACGGTACATGTTCCCTAAGAAGAGTTCCTTCATCGACGAATTTGCTCCAAACAGCTTTTTGGACCACTACACAAATTTTTTAACCACTCATGTCCCATACGGCGGATTGCTCTGCATTTTCGACCAATTTTTAGTCTCTGGTATCCGGAGCATAACTCGGTATATCCTCGCTGCTTGCAAAGTGGCTTCGGATATTATTAATGCGTCGAAAACTTCGAATGAGATGCTTGGTGCTATCAACTATGTTTTATTTGCGTACCCAGACCCTGCGAGTCTCATGCAAAGCGGGTTACATTTTGAACCGACTAAATTTCAGTTAGGTGCTGTTTTCCAGAGTGGAGAGAGTTTTGCGCCACTTAAGATGTGTGTTGACTGCGTGGTTGTCACTTATAACATTTTTGAGTTGATTTGGCAACATATTCCAGTGCACAGAAGAACAATGAGTCCAAAGCTCTTGTTTAATTCCAAAAGAGATGGCGTGTCAATGTTACATTTGTTTAGATTACTGAAGAACGAACAACCCCTTGTCTTTGTCATACAAACAAAAGAAAAGATAGTGGGGATGTTTTTATCACATAGCATTGTGTTTGGATCGAAACCCTACTTTGGCAATGGGGAGGACTTTGTCTTTAAAATTGAAGGAAATAATGTGATGAGTACATTCCATTGGACTAAGAAGAACAACATGTTCTGTTCTATAGCAGAGCAAGCAATTATGATGGGTGGAGGTAATGAAGGACCTGCTATATTATTAAAACCGGATTTTACTGTTAGCTCCTATGCGTCCGAAACATTTGGAAACCCTTGTTTCTTCGAGAACATCAATTCAGAGGTTGTGGTGTTCGAAGTGTTTTGTTTGGAATAATTTGATGTTGTTAATTTGAAGTTTATTGTTTATTTGGTGTGTTGTTTCTATTTGTATTTCGATATATTGATAACATAGAAGTATTGAATTATTTTATAAATATTCAAGATAAGATATGAAAGTCTACAACCACATTGTAATTTTTTAAGCCATCATTTTTTTAGAAAACAAGTGTTATGTTTTTGTTTTCCCATTCAAAGAAAACTTGTTTGAATATATTATGAATTTTTGTATAAAGTCTGTCAAAAAACGTTGTCCATTTGACAAAAAAATACACAAAATATGTTTAAAAATTTGGGAATTAGGAAAAAACGATCAAATCCCGGTAAAAATTATGAAACAATGTTTTAGGAGTGTTTCGAACTGTTTCCCGAAATATTCCAGTTTTGATGGTCAAAAAATGCCTGGACAACTTTTTCAGACTGACTATAATCTATTTTGTTAAGGAGTTTTTACAAAAAGGAATTACTTATTTGTGTTAATAACACCAGTTTTAATTTGAAAACAAAGTATTACATTCAAAACTATCATGTTACCTCACCACGATTGACCTTTTGTATTGTTTACTTGTTGTAAACAAATGGTACATTATTAAAACATTAAAATAAACAAGTAACAATAAGATGTTTACTTAATCAGAATTATTCATTGAAATTGGAACATTTAAACCATTATAATAGTTAAAAATTGACAACACCTAATTAATATAATCATTATTTTTTGTTGTAACCAAATATTAATTCAATTTTTCAACATTGAAAAAGTGACAAATAAATATCATTCAAAAAGATTTAAAGTAATAATATTCAATGTAAAAGATAATAAAAACCAAAACAAGATTTTCAAAAGTTAAAAATTCATTTCCCACTCATTATGATAATGGAATTATCTAAATGAAGAAAATGTTCATTGTTGATGAAGTAATAGATTTTAGATTATTAAATATAAAATAAAAATATAACCTTTTATAACATAATTGAAACACGTTTATTTCATAATATAGTAAGTCTTTCATGTTACTTCTTTGAGTATAAACTTTTTAAACCCCTTTATTTTTTATTCAAAATAACAATGTTTGAATTATTTTATCTTTTTATTTTTTTGAACATCCAAAAGCAAACAATCGGGAAATAAAGGTAGAAAATCAAAATGAAATGTGTAACTATAAAAAAAATTCGAAATAATTGACAAAGAAAATTGTTAAAAGCATGTATATGTTAATAACAGTATAACTTTATTATAAAACATTTTCTTTTAATACACATAAAGATATATAAAATATGGTGTACATTACACCACAACATCTTTGAAATAGTGAACCAACGTTTTTTTAGTACAACTAACATCAATTAGATGTGTTAAAAAACAAATAAAAACATAAATAAATTATTAAATTCCAAAATAATAATTAATCGGAATTTAGTGGTTTTCGATTTTTGAAAAAATCTTGGGGGACAATTTAAAAATAAAGCTCAATTATAGATTCGAATTTGGATGTTTTGAGTTAAAAAGAATGAATAAATCAACCTTCGTCGTTCACACCACTATAGTTTATTACTAGTTTATAAAACGAGTTAAAACATCACGAAAATATGTTGTAAATATAGCATAAAATTATCAAAAATATTATATAACATATAATTTATATATTATTTCTAATAGTATAAAAAGTAAATACTTGAATGGAGTTGTTACCAACTTGTTAATTGGCCATACGAAACGAACAATACAAGTAAAAATACTTCGTTCTTGGCAAAAACACCATTTGTGTTTGCCAAATGACTACATTTTTAATAAAATAATTAATAATGGTTGAGACAATACGGAGATGTCTATACCAATGGCATTGAACAACATAATAGCCACCCCTCACGACCAGGTGTTTGAAAGTCAAAAAAGTGAAAACCATAACGAGGAAAATGTAGCTAATTTGGAAAACAAATTAAATATTTCTAACGACGATATTTTCCCAAATGGTTAGGTTTAAAAATGTATAACATATATAATTTTATGGTTATCGCATAAAAAAATAAAAATGCGACAAAAGCAGTTGAATAATACCAACATAATTAATGAACTAACAACTCTGTCAAAAATGGCTTGTTTTTTTGGTGAGAAAAACCCCAAATTTTTGCCAAAAAGAAGTCGAGAAAAGGTGGGGCGTCTGAAAGATGTTGTTTTGGCGTTATTACCATCGAGCAGAAGCTCCAAAAATTCAGAGAATTTCGAAACTTTGTCAATTGGGGAAGTCCGTTGTGGAATTAGCACATCAATATAAACTAGAAATCTTCAAAAACAAAGAACATGTTGTCTACTGATTGTAATCAGACCACGACAGATTCTTCCGAAAAACAGTCCAAAAAGCCTTGCAAATTTGCATCCCGCAAACTAAGAGATTACCAGACTTGTCAGCAAGGTATTTTCATTGGTCTTTTAAACAAGTTTTGTGATATTACCATAATAAAACCACCAAAGAAAGCAGTCATTACACACCAATTTGTGAAGATTAAAACAATATCCTTTAATTTTGAGGACTTCATTGACATTGAAGAGTTTTTACAAAGGCGATGTAACGATCATAAATTTGACGACATGAAGCAGGGTTGTTCAGAGAAGACTGCAAATAGGCGGTTCCAGACCAACAAAAAGACGGAAGCTTTACATCTTCTGTTGGACGTGTTGGGAGAAGTTGGCTACTTTTTCGAGGTGAACACAACAAAGGGCAAGAAAGGGACAATGAAGCTTCAAAACGTCGAACGGATATATCAGAATGAAAAGTATCTCTTTGGTATTGATGAAATCTATGATGTTGGCTTTAAAATTAACGAAGTGGTATGTCAGATGCTAGACAAGAAAGATGAATGTGTCTTGCCAAAGCTCGATTCTCAAGTCCAAAAAATGTTCATTGAAAATGAACAACAGCTGTAACTTATTTGTTTCTTTCATTCCATTCTAAAATGAAACCTTTTTAAAAAACAAGAATCGGCCTAGAGATGGACTAACACTCGTAATAAAAGAAAACAACGTTAGGGGGTGTTTTCACCTGAAAATGTTTATTGTAACAAACCAAAAGGTAAAGGGGTATAAACATTTTGAAGGTCTTTTTGCTGGAGTCAAAAAGCGGTAAATAATCATGAACAATTGTTTTCCAAAAAGTTATTCAATAAGAAACAATCAAATTTTAACTTCTTAATATGTATAAATATATAATAGTTTTTTTTTAACTGTTGTTTTTTTCGAATATCTAAACTTTTTTATTTTTTTTATAATAAATCTTTTTAATGAAAAAAAATAATGTAATTAGTTTCAAAGTAAAAACCGAAATCAAAATTAAATAATTTTGATGTTACAATTAATTAATTAATATGTTTATTAAAAAAATAAATTATTCAAAAAAGACAGTAAAAAAACTAAAATATGTTTTTTTACCAATTAAAACAAGTAAAAAATAGCGATTTTGTAAAAATTGGACACTTTCCCGAAATATTCCATTTTTTATTCGAAAGATACATAAAAAACTTTAAATAAAGTTTTTGAAAATATACATTTTAAAAAACTTTAAAATGTTATTCAGTGCAAAAACAAAAGTGCCAAAAATGTTATTCGATCAATACCCCACAAAGACTCGTCGTTTTTATTTTGCAAGCGCAGTCTCATTTTGGAATGTGAACCCGTTGAACTCCTGTCCCGAAAGTGCTGAAGTGTCGGATGGTGTCATTGTGTTTGGATTTTGCGAGACAAACTCCTCGTCGAAATGTGAAGTGTCGTCCGCGGATTGAATTTGGGGTTTCCATGGTGGAGGAAGTTGCTTTGCAAGCAACTTATCCCAGTCGATACCTTCGAACCATGGGTGCTTCTTGATATCAGCGTCTTTAATTCTCTCGTCTGGATTTTTTTTAAGGCAAAGCGAAATGAAGTCTTGTCCGTCCGAGGAGATATCTGGTGTGAACTCGACGTCTTTGTTCAAGATGTTTTGATAGGTCTGGTTTTGGTTGTCGTCGTCGGTATAAAATGGAGTGTTTCCGACCATCATTTCGTACGACACACACCCAAGACTCCACCAGTCAACACCAATGCCATAACCCTTTGCGACCAAAACCTCGGGTGCCAAATAGTCTGGTGTCCCGCAAAATGTGGATGTTTTCATGTCGTCTGCAAGTTGTTTGCTCAGTCCGAAGTCGGTTACAACAATGTTTCCAGTCCGGTCGATCATAATGTTTTCTGGTTTCAAATCACGATAGACAACACCAAGAGAGTGCAAGTGCAACAGAGCAAGAACCAACTCGGCCGTGTAAAACTTGGCTGTATCTTCTTTGAGCGACGTTTCGATTTCGAGTTTGTGGAACAGCTCACCGCCTTGAATGTAGTCCATGACCATATATAACTTTTCCGGTGATTGGAAGGCGTAGTGAAGCTTGACGATGAACGGGTGGTTGATGTGCTGAAGGATCTTTTTTTCGTCGTTGGTGTGCTTCTCTTGCTTCGTTGACATCACCTTTCCCTTGTCGAGGATTTTCATCGCAAAGATCTCGCCGGTGTCTTTCTTCTTGACGACACAAACCTTGCCAAAGCTCCCTTTGCCGACAAGTTTGACCATGGAAAAGTCGTCGAAGCCGATCTTTTTAGCGCCCTTGTTGTATATCTGATCATACTCCGCCATCTATATTTGAGCTTTCGTTCCAGTAAAGCAATCTTGAGATTGACAAAATGAAAGAATGAGACGTAAAAACTAAAGGCAACAAACTGTGTTTTGTCTTTTTTCAGTTCACACAGTTTCTTGTTCTTTTTCTTTTTTCCGCTGAAGGCGAAGTATTTTTGGTTTTGTGTTGTATTTTTATGTTTCTTAACTTGGAGTGCATTTTTTACCATTTCGGTAAAAACGTGTGGAGATGATATTATTGGATATTGTTTATTTTACAATAAATTAATGGTTGTTTTTAATAATTATATAAAAAGGAGATTAATAATTCTTTAAGATACTCTTGTTTATTCGTTCATGGTTTTTCTATTGTCTATTTTGATAAATTAAGATAAAGAACTTGAAAACCTTTATTTCAACTTATTCAAGTTTGATAATTGTTATTTTTATTACTAAATTACAATATTATAATTATCCAAATGAAATTTTAATTGTTATTCTTACAAACTTTATTATATCACATTTTAAAAATTTTGACTTTTTCAAGAAAATTTTCAATTTTTTATCTATGATAGCTGTTCGGCGACTTTACAGTTTCTTTAAAAATCGCCGACTTTTTAGTTGTCTTAAAAGTCGCTGATTCAAATAATTAGTTAAAATACTATTCAAATACCATTTATCATTAAAAAGGAATTAAAAAAATAAACCATATAAATTTAATATAATTATTATTAAAAAATAAAATGAAACAATACCATCCCAATTATATCTTCTCAAATCATTTTTTAAATTATATTTATATAATTATAATATAACAAATTATAACAATTATTGTGTTTTTACACATTTTTGGGACTATAATTAATATGGTATAATTTATTAAAGTTAATAGTTATTTAGTTCTAAAAGAAGTCGGCGACATTTGAAAAATCTCAAAAAGTCGACTTCTTAGAAATATCAAAAGTCGCCGAAGAGCCATTATTTTAATTATTAAAAAAATGTAAATTATATAATTCTTTCAATTTATTATAAAATATCTACAAGAATAAATATCATTTTATTAAACAATTTGTTGGTGATACAAACATGGTACAAAGATTTTGAACAGAACCATGGTTTCGACTAATAATTAATAATATCTATACCATTGTAATAACTAAATATGAAAAGTTATATTTGGAACAGTTTTTAAAAATAAATTAATAAACTTGTTCATTACTATTCAATTAGTAATTAACCCTTCAAGGACGGGAAAAATCAAAATTTGTAAAAAAATAAAAATCTTAGTCAATTGTAATGTAAATGTGACCTTTTTTTAATTTTCAAAAAAAAGCTAGAC